GTTTAGGGTAAAAGTTCCCTCCCAACTAGACCAATGAGAGTCGTCGTCAAACCAGCTCATCCAGTCTAACCAATCAGAGCTGGACACATGGCAGTCGGATCAATCCAATCCGAATGGGCCATAAACCCGTCCTACCCTTGCTACTCGAGGAGGTAAAAACAGCATTACAATGAGGTTAAAACCCTATTTTACGTGCATTTCCGTACACTCTCATCATTAATGATGGTTAACACTCGTTGAAAAGCGATTAGTGTTCCCTAAGTGCAATTATACCATCTCATTTACTGCTTTGACTTTTCATCTTCCGGTACTAATTTGACCGTTGGAGGCGAAACTCTGTCAAACCGGGGCTTTGTTGTTTTGTAGGTGTATGGATCGGGCAGGCCATACGTGGTATTGTAACTTTCTCGAGAGACATCCAAAAAACCCGAAACAACATTATTATGCTATAACACTTAGCTTGGGAGAAGTTACATTTCTAATTGGGATTAATCATGGTGGTTTTTCTCGCTCAACTCCTTGAATTTAATTTAATTGTCATCTTGTTTATTAGTCTAAACTTCCTACTTGTATTTGTATTCTAATTTGAAAATCAATTAATCTTGTCTTAAATTTATGCTTCACAATTTTATTGCCCTTTGTTTGGGAGAAAACTGGAACAAGCTAAGATAGTTCCAGGCCAAGATAATAAATGTAAAGGTAGCATATACTTCGTAATTTCTAACCCTAAATTGCGGGATCGATTCTAGCAAGCAATATTCTTCAAACTTTTCAGCTAGTATCTACGTATTGCAATTATCGTACTATACCAAAGCTATATGCATTTCTTCATTCCCGAGAAATTCAGCACATTGGATGAACTTCCAATATTGCACCTAGTTATCTGTGTTTGTTTTTTAATATTAACTAGAACATATATGTGGTAATGCAGAGGATATATTTCATGTATGAAAATTATAATTAGATACTTACTCCATTTTTTAATAAGTGCTCCATTGTTCTTAATCTTTGACCAATAATATCTTTTTTTATCAATCAGTAAAAATCATAACAATTGAAGATTGTTAATTTATTAATTGAGACGATTCCAACAAGTACCCACAAGACTATATTTTTTCTTATCAATAAATCACAAACATTAGTCAAAATAGGTCAAGTTAATAGTGCAAAAAGTGTTAATGGAGCACTTAGTAAAAAACGAAGGGAGTATTTTGGTTCCTCAAAAATAACATGAAAGTTAAGAAAAAAAAATGAGGAAAATTAAGTGGAATTAGAGCTGGCAAAAATTGACACGACACGAACCGAACACGAAAAAAACGGGTTAGTGTTGAGATTCTCAACACATTTAATTAAACGGGTCAACACGACACGGCACGTTTAATTAAATAGGTTGGGTTAGTGTTGAGATTCTCAACACGAAATTAACACGACCCAACCCACCTAACATAAAAATCCAATAATTTATGGAATTAATGATTCATATATTGAATTATACCAATATTTTTCAATTCAACATGACAACATGACACGAACCGAACACGAAAAAAGCAGGTTAGTGTTAAGGGTTTTCGACACGTTTAATTAATGGGTCAACACGACACGACACGTTTATTAAATGGGTGGGGTTAGTGTTGACCTTCCCCAACCCGTTTAATTTCCGACACGAAAACAAACACGACACGACACGACACGATTTCCAAGTCTAAGTGGAATAGGTAGTTATAGGGTTTTTTTTTATATATATATATAAATTTAGTGGAACAGGAAAAAAATAATAAGTTGTGTAGAATTTGAGGATCAAGGGTTTAATTTGGAGGGATGTGGTTAAACATTGAAAAAAAAAATTCTGCAATTATATTATACTTCCTTTGTTTTCTTTTAAATGCAACACACCTTTTTGACACGCTTTTTTAGAAGGTGATTCGAATAGGTAAACGAGCTAATTTATCAAAATAATTTTAACACCACGATTAGAGAAGGGTTAGCTAATATGTGTATAAATTATTTTGATTAATTTGTATTTTTACCTACTCTAATTGACAGATGAGGGAATATTTTCCTCGTCATTCTCATTGTCAATCACCAAATATATACAAGTATAGACTTAATGCTAGGCTATAAACTAGGTAACAAATTACACTAAACACGCCTAACTGTAGCTACAAAACAGGAAGATAATTATGAGTAATTATCTTCTTTGATTACCAATATATACAATATATTTAACACATCCCCGCAGTCGAAGCGTTTCGGACGCTGAGACTAGCTCGAAAATCTTCAAATAAAATTTGCGGAAGACCTTTGGTAAAATTATCCGCTATTTAATATCGTGATGGCACATGAAGAACTCGGACTTCCCCGTGTGCAACCTTCTCACGGACAAAATGGATATCCATTTCAATATGTTTTGTACATTGGTGTTGTACTGGATTCCCTGATAAGTAAATAGCATTCACATTGTCACAATATACAAGAGTGGCCTTTTTAACCAGACAATGCAACTCCAATAATACCAACATGACTCGGAAACCACATTTGCCACACCACAATACTATCACCCAAAAATACACAGTAACCAGAAGTAGACCGTCTCGTGTCAGGGCACCCACCCCAATCTGCATCAGTGTATGAGACTAGAGTAGAAGAAGAAGATGAATATAAATGAAGGCCGAAATCCAACGTATCCTGAATATATCGAATAATCCGTTTCAGAGGTGACATGTGATCAACCCTCGGATCATGCATATGGAGACATACTTGTTGCACGGCATAAGAGATATCAGGTTGTGTAAAGGTGAGATACTGTAGAGCCCCTGCAAGACTTCGATATAAAGTGGGATCATCAAAGGGAGTACCAGATGTAGCACTGACCTTTGATTTCGTATCAACAGGAGTTGTCGACGGCTTACACGAAGACATCCCTGCACGCTCTATTATTTGTTCGGCATACTTGCGCTGTGAAAGAAACATACCACCCCTATGTCGAGTCACCGCAATACCAAGGAAATAATTAAGAGGACCAAGATCCTTCATAACAAACTCAGAGCTAAGAAGATCTATTATAGAACACTGCAAAACATCAGAAGAAGTAGTAAGAATTATACCATCAACATATAACAAAATGTAAGCCATATCCGACCCCTTGCTGTAAATGAACAAAGAATTATCACTTTTGCTATTAGTGAACCTAATAGACAAAACATAATAAGCAAAACGCTTGTACCAAGCCCGAGGTGCTTGCTTAAGACCATACAATGACTTACGTAAGAGACAAACATAATCTGGATGAACACGGTCTTCGTAACCGAGTGGTTGATGCCTATAAACTATTTCCTGAAGTTCACCATGAAGAAAAGCATTTTTGACATCAAATTGATGAATAGGCCATGCTTTTGATAGAGCAAGACTAAGAACAGTTCGGATTGTAGCTGGTTTAACAACCGGACTAAATGTCTCCCCGCAATCAATGCCAACCTATTGTGTTTTTCCATCACCTGCAAGACGGGCTTTAACAACCGGACTAAATGTCTCCCCGCAATCAATGCCAACCTATTGTGTTTTTCCATCACCTACAAGACGGGCTTTATGCCTCTCAAAATCACCATTAGGTTTAACTTTGTGAGTAAAAATTCACATAGACCGAAGGACATTCACATGCGGAGGACGGAGCACCAACTACCACGTCTTATTTTTAATAAGAACATTATATTCATCATCCATGGCCATTTTCCAGTTTGGGTCACGAAGAGCCGCAACCTGGTTACGAGGCAAGGGTGACCTCTTAACCGCAGTGTGCATGGAGTATTTTATATTTGGCTTAAATATTTCATTACGGCTACGAGTTATGACAGTGGGCTGTTGAGGAATATTTTGAGGAGTGGAAGGAAGAGGTGCGGTCTGTGTTTGTGAAATGGGAAAGGGAAGAAGCGGCATTGGGCCAGAAGGAGAAACCGGCCCAGAAGCCAGACTGGGCTGCTCGCTGATGGGCTCCAGCGTCACAACAGGCTCAGAGATGGGAGAGCGCTGCTGGACAGGTGAATTGGGCCTGCCGTGTTGGGTTGGAGCAGCTGGACTTGAGTTTTGATAATAGTTAAGCACATATGGTGACAAACCATCATCAAGAAAATCATATGTATGTGAAGCCGGGGAATGTAATTTAGAAAAAGGAAACACATTCTCATCAAATACGACATGGTGACAAATAATAAGTTTCCTAGAAGACAAATCATAGCACCTGTAGCCACGATGACTGGAAGGGTACCCTAAAAAGACACACGGAGTAGACCGGGGTTGTAATTTATTAAAAGTTGTGGAAGGGAAAAGAGGGTAACACAAACAACCAAAAACCCGTAGATGAGAGTAGGGCGGAACCTTTTGATAAAGAACTTCAAGAGGAGACTTATTTCCCAATAGCTTACTTGGAGGAATATTAAGAAGATATGTTGCCATTTGAATGGAATGATGCCAAAAAGATGGTGGTAGAGAAGCATGAGCAAGAAGAGTTCTAGAAATATTATTTATAGTCCGAATTTTACATTCCGCTTTCCCATTTTGAGAGGAGGTGTGAGGGAAAGAAAGGCGAAATGACAAGCCATTAGTTTTACAAAAATCCCAAAAAGGACCATTATCAAACTCCCGACCATTATCACATTGCACATTTTTGATAGTACGTTCAAATTGAGTAGATATATGGGCTTTAAACGCTAAGAATATGTCATACACCTTAGATTTCCTAGCCAAAGGAAACGTCCACAAATAATTTGAAAAATCATCTAAAAATAAAATATAATATCATTTCCCTGAAGAACTCAAAACCGGAGAGGACCAAAGGTCATTATGAATAATATCAAATGGCATAAAAGTACATGAAGTAGATGAAATAAACTGCAACTTTATATGTTTCCCAAGTACACAAGACTCAAAAACACAAGAACTAGAATATTTAGTACAATCAATGCTTTTATTTTTTCTAAGCACATCTAATATAGGAGTTGCCGGATGACCCAACCGATCATGCCATAGCTTGGGAGAAATGGCGGCAAAGGTAGATGAGTAAGCTTGATTGTTGAGAAAAGATGAAATGGGATAAAGGTCACCTTGACTATCACATCTCATTATTGGAAGCTCTGTCCGATAATCACAGAAAACCCAAAAGGATCAACTCAACCGACACAGAATTATCAGTAGTAAACTTTCTAACAGAAATGAGATTTTTAATCAATTTGGGAGCATGAAGAACATTTTGAAGGAAAGAGGTTGACTCGGGGAGGACAAATTAGAGTGACCAAAGCCAAGAATCGGAATTTTATGACCATTACCAACAACAATATTATGATTAGGATGATTGCTCAAATTCAAATAAGACGAGAGATTACCAGATGAGGGCGTCATATGAGACGTAGCTCTAGTGTCCATGTACCAAGAGGGGTCGGGCTGTTGAAGAGACATGGTGTGCATCGCGACCTCGATGTCCGTAGGTACAAATGGTGCGGACTAACCAAGAGATGGACTGGACTGCTGCACATAAGCTTGCTGCTGTGGTCTTGGGCCCAAGAGGCCGGGTTGTCGCTGCTACTGGGGTATAGGAGGTCTGACCCATCCTTAATTAGGGAATGGGCAAGCTCTGCCCATACCAAGGCCACATGTACTGCTGTTGTTGCTGCCATTGCGATGAAGGAGCATTAGAGTTCCCTCCGTTCTGTCCTCGGCCACCATTCTTGCCACCACCATTGTTGCGGCTGCCACCAGCAGAACCGACTGATTTCCGGCCATTGTTGTTCTTCTGGCTGCCGGATTTCTGACCACCAAATTGCTTCCCCTTAGAGTGACCCTGCTTATCCGAAATCAAGGAACCATCATCTTGCGAAGTGTGAATCATAGCGGACTCGGTGGCTGCCTCCTTTGCCATACCCGCCTCTTCCAATGTGAGCATGGAACGAGCTTTGTAAAAAGAAGGAAGAGGGTTGCTTTGCCGGATTAACGTACCCACACCACAGTACGCCCTTGTGAGACCCCCAACTAATTGCAAAACCATACGGCTGTCCGAAATCGATGCCCCAACGTTCTTTAATTGATTCGCAAGGGACTTAAGACGTTGACAATAAGCCGAAGCATTCGGGAAATCCTCCATAGAAGTGGTGGAGAATTCTTGTTCCAAAGCAACGGCACGAGAATGTTCGTTATCTTGGAATATATCACGCAATCTATCCCAAGCTTCCATAGTCGTAGAGTCGGGCTCAATAATGGTTTGCAACAAGTCATTAGAGATAGTAGAATAGATCCACGAGATAACCGTGGCATCCAAAGTAGACCATAGTTCCTTCTCCTCATCCATAGAGGGAACCTTCTCCTTGACTTTGGCCAGAGGAATAATATGGTGAAGGACCTTGTGAGATCGTGCGTGAATTTTAAACAACTCTGCCCACGTAGAGTATTGAACATTTTCTATCTCAAGTGTGATAAGAATATGGTTCTTGATATTAGGGACGACAAGAGCCGGATGAAAAGATGATTTAGAATCACCCATGGAGATATGCAGGTGGTAAGAAGAAGAAGACAAAGAGAAAAAGAAGAGCAGTGGGCGGAACAGAGCAACTAGGGCGCAACGGAATTAGAGAAGATTGTACCTTAGGCTAACTGATACCATGACAGATGAGGGAATATTTTCCTCGTCATTCTCATTGTCAATCACCGAATATATACAAGTATAGACTTAATGCTAGGCTATAAACTAGGTAACAAATTACACTAAACACGCCTAACTGTAGCTACAAAACAGGAAGATAATTATGAGTAATTATCTTCTTTGACTACCAATATATACAATATATTTAACACTAATCACCTCCTTAAAAAGCGTGAAAAAGAGGCGTGTTACATTAAAAGAAAATGGAGGAAGTAGTATAGATTTGGGAGATAATGATGAAATAAACTACTTCAAAGTGGTATTGGGATGAAACGACATAGGTCTAGTGGAGGCTTGATCCCTATCTATAGCTCATCTGATCTCTAATTCTCTATAGCCTAACTAATTTTATAATTGGTACCTATAAAAATATCTAAAGGATTTAAACATAGCCGAAATAACTTTAATTTATAATTGTTCAAATTTGTCATACTAGTAAAAAAAGATTATGACTTTGCGTCTTTGCTCCAAATGACAACACTTAGAACCAATACTTGTTCCAATTCAATTTTATATATATATCCACTGTAAAACTTTGTACTCTTATATCATTTAAATCTACTCTTTTTCTTCTCTTGTTGTTTTCTACTAATTAATCAATTAGCAATCTTACTCTCTTATTTTTTTTGTCAACTAATTAATTATCAATGTTTTTTTTTTTCCCTTTTCTAATTAGTGACCATAAGTGATAATAAACTTAAAAGATAGTGTTAAGTCCACTTTAATTTAATATTAAATCATTTCACAAAAATTTGGATTAGTGAAATAATTATAAATAAAATAATTATTTCAAAATTATATTTACATTTTTTATTTAAAATACTTAATAACAAAAAACGTGCAAAAAGTATTTTGCATGTCATTTTCATTTTTTATTGGAGTATGTTTCAGTTTAATGTAAATACAAAATTGCGCATAAACCAATGCATAGGTTAAAATAGGAAAAATTAAAATAGTGCAAAACCATGTCGTATGTATTTGTTTAGGAAAATGGAATAAACTTTATTAAAAAAATTTAATTGAAAACAATATTATGATTCGGTAAAGTCAAAATTTATCTCTTATGATAAACAATTTGAAGACATTATTCATAATTTGAAGGAAGAAGTTATTAAAATAATTTTAATATGCTAAATATAAAATATATTGCAATGATCACATTTAATTGAAATAGATACGAAGTAAAACGAAATATTATCTCTATCACATCCAATCATTGATGATTTCTCATATTTTACAAATTATGCTTTTGTTAAATGCATTATATTAATCAATGATTATTGTCAACCATAAAAATATTTTCGGTTCGATATTCTGTTAAAACTGGGTATGCTTTGTTACAAGAACCAATGCAAACAACACAATTTGTCTCAGACTAACACTTTTTGGAAAATCCTTTAGACCCTTGATATACAACTAAAGTGGAAACTATTCTTAAGGTAGTTGTTAAATAAGGGGTTAGTTGTTAAAAGTGAGCTTTATCATCGAGGGGTTCCTATTCCAAGTTTGTTCTGCAATCTTTGTCCCACAAAAGTTGAGGAATTCGATCATCTTCGAAAATGTGATATTGGTAGGGAAGCTTGGTAGGGTAGAAGCCTTGGCATCCGCTCAAGATTTTATGGAGATCTCTCCCATAAATTGGATCCAAGATTATATCCGACTTTTTATTGGTCATGATGGGATTAAGAGTCCCCATATAAGTATCTTCGTTGGCACTCTTTGAACCCTTTGGTTATGTAGGAATAATAAGGTGTTCAGGCCAAACTCACCATCTACTAAGCCATTACTTTACAGGTTTTGGATATACTCCAGACACATACTATCTTTACTAAAGAAAATACTGCCATTAGCAACCTTTATTCTTCTCCTAAAGATGGTGGTTTGCAACCGCCAGGGTTTCATGCAGCTCAGTTAGGGATACATCAATAAGGGTCTGATCTAGTTCGAATGCAGATTGATGCATGGGTCATGGTTCAAAGAATCTCAGTATGCGGGAATGGATTGGTATCTTGATAATGAAGATCCTACGGATGATCGAATTATTGGTGGTGGCAATTACGGGGTTTGTACTTCAACTTTGCACGATGAAGCATTAGCTTGCTTCTATGGGCTACAATGGGCTTTCCACTCCCACATAAAGTCTGCTATGGTGTTTACAAATTCTTATAATTTGGTTTCACTTCTTCGTGGTGATGGACATGGAAACATCAGGTACATGTGGCTCATCCAGCAAATTCAGCTGCTTAGATTAAAGTTTTTGCATTGCAATGTGCACAAGGCAGATAGAGACGGGTTCAAAGGGCTCACAATATTGCAGGAGAACCGGCAGTACATTTTATTTGCTTTTCTAGTACTAAGTAATTCGTTTTAATCCTTTATCAAAAATAAATAAATAATATTTTCATTTATTTTTATGAATATAGACCCATTTTCTAATATATTTGCAAACTTACTGCTAGTAAGAAATTACGTAATTAATAAATTCAGTTATTGCAATAAAAGTTAGTATCTATCTACTTTGGAACTAATAAAAAACATACATTAGTACTTAGCTTGGTACCAACCACCAATTAATATACTTTTATTCTTTTAATATTACAATGAGACTGCACAATTTTTTTGAGTGGGAAAAAAAGAAAGAAAAAAAATATATACAAAATTGCTAATGAGATTGTAAGCATAAACTAAAAAAACAAGTCCTACAAAAGTAAAGGTGTTTGGTATTTGTAGTGTAAATAGAGATAATTGGTTTTCTAACATGGGTGTGTTGAAAACTTCCTTAAAACACAAGTTGTACAATATTAATAAAACGAAGCAAGAACATATATTTATACCAAATTGAATGATATTTGTGGATGGGTAGTAAAAAGGACTATAAAGTACTCCCTACTTCTATCAGTATTTTATTACTTGCTCCATTTCTTCGATTACAGAGTTTTAAGAGAAATAATAAAAAGTATTATTTTATGATGTAAGTGGGGTTGGTTGAAAAATTAAAAAAAAATCTAAAAATGCAAAAGTAAGTATAAGTAGGGAGGAGAGAGATATGAGAAGAGCATTAGTGGGAAGCAAATTAGTAAAAACTGTTGTTAAAAGTTTCTAAAAAAGAAATTGAGTAAGTAATAAAATACGGTCGCAAAAGAAAAGTGGAACATGTAATAAAATACAGAAGGAGTACAAGGAAGTTTCACCAAGTATCTTCTAGTTTTTAAGAAATTCACCAAGTGTCCTTACTATTTTAAAATTCACCAATTATTGAATTTACTAGCGGTCATTAACACCTTTAGTTATGAACCCTTAACTATCCCATTATCCCATAATTAAATAATGCGAAGAGTCTTGAAAAATTGATCAGCTAAGTTAATTCGGTTTTAAAGGTTCAAAATTGAAATTAAATTTGGCAAAATAAGACTAAATGCCTTAATTTGCATGCAAGGAAATGTCTTGATTCACGTGCTATACTTTTTTAGCAGTGAAAATTATTTGGTTAAAGTTTTGAGGATCATATTAGCCCATCAAGATCAAAGTTAAGGTCAAAATTAGCAAAAAAAACTAGAAATGCCTCGGTTTATGTGCAAGAAAATGCCTCAATTTACTTGCTTCGGATTCGAAGCCGCAATAATTGCTCAACTGAGGGTTTGAAATTCAATTTGAATCTTTATAACAAATTTGAAGTCAAAATAAAAATAAATAAATAAATAAATAAAAATAATAATAAAATAAAAATGACCCAAAATGCCTCGTTTTACATGCAAGCCCCCTCCTAAGATTTTTGCGGCTTGCAAACCAAGTCATTTTCCAGCACACAAACCAAAGCGTTTTTAATTATTTTTATGTCAAATTCAACACCAAAACCTTGACCAAACAATTTTTGCGGCTTGCGGCTTGGAAACAGAAGAATGCAAATCGAGGGATTTCCTTACCTGCAAATTAAGGCATTCAATTCATTTTTCTATTTTTTTGCTAATTTAGATCTTAAATTTGACCCTCGATATCCAATATAACCGCTACAACCTTAACCGAGCAATATCAAAGCTCGCAAACCAAAGCACGAATATCGAAAATCGAGGCATTTCCTTCGCACAAATGAGGCATTTCAATTCTTTTTTTTAGCTAATTTAGACCTTAAATTTGACCCTTGACATCTTATCCTAAGATTAGGCACATGTCATGTTATCATTAAAATTTTTCCTTTCAAAGCTATAAATAATGTCATCATGTTACAATTTTATTTTATTAAAATTCTGATTAGCTATATTATTATTAGTATAAATTTCCGTAAACCTTAACCAAGCAATATCAAGGCTCACCAACCAAAGTAGAAAAACCGAGGTATTTTCCATTATATAATTAAGGGTTAATAGGTTAACTAAGGGATAATAACTAACGAAGATAACTACCACCATTCATTAAGGACATTTGGTTAATTGTTTAAACACTCGAGGTTATATTGTGAATATTAAAAACAGCAAAGACATTTGATAATTTTTTTAAAAACTATTTGATGAAAAAACCCTAAACTAAAGAACTAGAACGAGTAGCTTCCAATCAAATAAAGTTGCAAAAGGTTGTTAATTGAATAAAATTGTTTATAAACTCATATCATGAAGTTAAGGGCTTTTATTTTTTATGTTTTCAGCTTTCTGTTTTTTTAAAACAAAAAACCAAAATTACACAAAAAAAAAAAAAAGAAAAAAAAAAGGTGTTTTAATTTTTCTATTATCAATTTTCAAAAATGATTTTAACAAATTTAACTAATTGTTGATTCATTATATGACATATATCATATGATTTTGAAAAACAAAATACCAAAAAACAAAAAACCATAACAATACCAAACGATCCCTAAACTATGCTGAAATTTGATGGCAAAAGATAGAGCAGACACCTTAAACTTTCCAAGCACAAGATTAAAATAAAGCAACCAATACATTTACTAAAGAAGCATAATAAATGCCAAGTTCTCAAGAATCTAAACCAACTACATTCGATAACAAAATTTAAAGACACATAATGATTTCGTAAGTCTACAGTTTTCAAGTCAAAATTTTAAAATTTCATCAATAGCTTAGTATATAAGATCTCCGGAACAGCTTCTGCCATGAATCCATAACACAACTTCAGCTGTTTAACGGTACTGTAAATGCAAAGAGGAAAACTAGATCAGGCAATGTCATGAATGGTAAATGTAAGTACAAACAAAGCTCAAAACCATATAGCAATCCATCAATATGGCTAAATAACAGTCCAATTCTACTAAACAGAGCAGTTGATAAAATAACTATGATGTATTTAGCTAATTTAGACGCCTTTATCCATCTTTCTTCAAGAGAATTAAAATTAGATGCCAAAGAAAACTCCACACTCTGCCCCATTGGGGAAGCAGAAGTTATGAAACGACAACAAAGGAAGAGAGGAAAGTTGTATTGGAAATTCAGGCACAACACAAACCAACTACGGAGTAATTCATAATCCTTCCGCGTAGGAGCAAACACAAGTTATAATTAAGTTTTGAATAGGGCACAAACAGTTCTCATGATTGCAAATAACCACTAAGACTGAGCACATAGGATCAAACGAATAATAATACTCACAATTTGCAATCAGGTAATACGGAGTAGATAGATTATCAGTATATCATAATGCAAAGCACACCCAACCTTTCATTAAAAAAAAACTTTTAAAATCATAGCTTGTACAAATCTCAAATCAACTCGCAAACACACAATCCAATCTTCAGCGTCAACATTGATTTTATAATCAAAACCCATTCTCTATCAAAAGATTCATATTTATTGGGCGAAAATTACTTCTACTGACACATACTTTCAATTATAAACCTTTTTCAACCGCTGAAGAATTTCAATTGCATATTTTTAATAACATCACCTTTCCTTTCGGATACAAAATTCATAACCCTCATCACAATCACCGAATAAGGAAGCTAAATATCACTAGCCCAGAACATACATTAAGCTAAAGAGCCAAGAACACAACCATTACCAAAGGTCCAAAGTATTACATACCCACATCACAGAATAATCACAGTCAAAAAAAATTCAGCCTAAGAACAGCTTCCCATCGATTTCAGTATTCGCATTTCTAAAAGATCAATTAGTTCAAAGCAAAATCGTCTGAAAACTAGTACCACCAACAGCAAAATCATTTCAAATTCAATATTTTCATCATGTAACATCCCAAATAAAAAATAACTCGTTTCACCTCTTTATTAACAAATTTATGAAACCAATTTGTTACAAAAAAAAATAAAAAAAAGAAAAAAAAAGCCATCATTCAAACAAAATCAATCGTAAAATCCACAAAACAGTAAATTCAAATCCAAAAACTACGACAAATAAAACAGAGAATAAGATGAGAAAAGAAAGAACCTTGATGAAACCGATTTCCTTAGCGTTGCTACGGAAGCACTGTCTGCAGCACATCAGTCCATACTTGCGAATAATTGCATGAGGATTGCCGCAAACTCGGCTGTTTCAAAATTACAACAAAAAAACAATTAAAAAAAATAAAAATGAAATTAAAATAATCTGGAAAAATGGTAAGAGGAGAGAGAAAAGAATACCAAGCACGAGATCCAGGACCATAGTTCTTAGGGTGAGCGTTCCAGATGTTAGAGTGTCCCATTTTTGGTTGGTTCGTCTGAGAAACCTTTCAGAGGACAGAGAATACGGCGCTGCTGTTCTTCCGGAAAACCCTAGTGATTTCTTCAAGAGGTCAGGATGAATGATTATAAGGGTTTTATTAGTAGGTTTTCACCTAATGCCTGTTATATGAAACGCACCGTTTTTGTTTTTCATTTTTAACTAGTTTTTTTTTTTTTTTTTTTTTTTTTTTTTTTTTTAAGGAAAAATCCAAGCTTTATAAAAAAATTAAAAAAATTAATCAGCACGTTTTAGTTTTAGATAAGGCTGGTCACATCATGTGGCCGCTTATAAAAGAATAAAGTAACCTATAGACCAAATAACCCTGCAACATTAACGAAAAACCCCATGATGGTTGACCACACATAAAATTTGTGAAAATCAGCAAGTATCTATTAAAATCGATCTTTTTATTAAGTCTAAAAAAAACCTTTTTATATAAAAAAAAAAAGGTAAAATTTAAAAATATCTCTATTTACAGGCATGTTTGGCGGTATCTTTTAGCAACCGATTAAAAAATGAGTGTTTGGCAATTTAGACGTTGGAGTAGTGTTTAGCAATCAACAAAAAGTTACATCCAATAAAATATCAATCAATTACTTAAATTACGTTCAAAATTAAAGAAATTGCTATTTAATTTTTGTTCATGAATACAATCAATCAATTAATGTATTAATATTATACTTCAATCAATTTTCCTTCCAAAAAAAAACAACAATCAATTAAATAAGGGTCTGGCTTGTTTGTGATCATTTTTTGAAACCAAAAACAGGAAACTAGATAAAAAGTTGTTTTCAACCTTTTGTTTTCAGTTTTCAAAATTATCATGATTTTAATAAGTTTGACCAATTTTTTTTATTCAGGGGTCGTTTGGCTCACGGTAATAATCAAAGGGAATGGGATTCCATGGGAATCATTCCCTTTGTTGTTGTTTTTTTTTTTGCATTTTTATCATTCCCTTTCCCCTTTGATTACCCAAAAAGCTTCTACTCCCATTCCCCACCCCCCTAGCCTTTCCCATTCCCTTTCCCCAACCACCACCGTACCCACATCAGCCACCCTTACCTAGGCCACTTCTCGCTGGAACTTCACTGCCCCTCACCGGAATCTCGCCGCCATCCCCCGACCCTCGCCGCCCCTTACCGGAACCTCGCCGCCCCTTCTCTCACCGGAAAATCATTCCGTTACCCACGCATAACCCTCCCCTCCACTTAGATTCATCGGCCGCCTCTCCCCCACCCCTCGCCGCATCACGGCCAGCCTCGTCATCACTCGCCACCTCTCCCCGCACCCCTCGCCGCAAAGTATAAGATGACAAACAAGAAATCAACGAATTCTGCATGGACGCCATTGATGCAATCTAAATTGGAAAATATTGGTGGATCTGAATTTAGTATGTGGACAATGGAGTATGTACCTGCTTATAAGCTTCAGATTGATGCTGATAGACTCACTAATTTGAAGTTTGAAGGATGGAAAAGGACTATGGGAAATTGTTGGGAAGTTTTCTTAACCCATTCACAAATGGTAAGGGATGAGCTGTGCAGGGGTGGGGGAGGGCGGCGAATGGCGGGGGAGGTGCGGTGAGTGGTTTGGTGGATGGATGGTGGCTGGAAAAGGTGGAATTAGGTGGTGGTGTGGTGGTGGGATTTGTTTTCCTTTGTTATTAAACAAACAACATAGCAAATTTCAAGGGTTTCATTCCATTCTCCTCCATACCTTTTCCCCATTCCATTCCGATTCCACTTTGCGAACCAAACGGCCCCTCATTATAGACATATATCATATGGTTTGTAAAAAACCAAAAATCAGAAAACTACAACGATACCGAACGAACCATAATGTATTCTTAATACAATAAAAATCATCTCCAATCAAATTCGGGGGCTAATAAAAGATAAAAGGGAAAAAATGTCAATTCTTCCTATCCATAAATTATAAGCTTATACTCCATATTATGGTTACCCAATATGTTAATATGTAATATATATTTTGGAAAATTTGTCAGAAAAAACCTTTTAAGACAATCTTTTTATTCAGAAAAACCTTTTAAAAATTTCTTGGCATTTTAAAACCTGATTGTGAAAAAAATTTATTGAAGACAACCAACGATCACTTTTCGGCATTGACTTCTCTCTTTCCGACATTGGCCCCCCATGTGACATGCACATGGTCATTTTTTTACTAATCCCACCCCCTTTTTCTTCTTATTTCCCTCTAGTTTTCTTAAGTCACTCAGCTCGCTATTGTTTAACCTTGGTTAATTACAATTAAATTAAATTATAAATAAAAAAAACCCCATCGCCTCATGATCTCACCTCTCACATCATTCCTCCTACGGAAGCGATTTGATCGTGTCCTTGTCATTGATTTATCTTTGGGTATAAATATACAATTACAAGAGATAATCTTGGCTACTGACTAGCTACAAATTAGGCTATAAAATATACACTAACCAAATTAGTTATATACAAAGTCAAACCAGAATATATTGCCATATATTTTAACACTCAATTAGTTAAATAATTTTCCAATTGGTCTTCAATTAGACTCATTTGTTCAATTACTGCTCATCTTATATGTTCAATTATTCGCTTTTTTAAAAATAAGGTTAGTTAATGTTGACCCTCTTGGTATTTTGATGATTGACAAACAAACAAGATTTGACTAATGGTGTTTGATAGTCTTTGATAGAGTGAAAAGATTTAGGCAATAACAATATCTACCCTGTTCCGGAGTAGGAGCAACTAAATTGGAAGTTCAATATTCGTATGCAAGCTTTCAAGATGAAGAAGACAAATTCCAATCCTTAGTATTCACTGTAAGCACTAGAGTTTTTATGTGCAGAAAGGAACTCAACTTAAAGTTTTAATCAGAAAATATTTTTAACGTAAGACTTTAAATCAGTTTTTATTCCTTAATTAAAGGATAAAATAAAATCAGTTTTTAAAGAGATATATTTTCTGTAAATAAATAAAAGATAAATAATTGTTTAATTAAAAGATAAGTTTGTTATTTTTAAATTAAATAATTATTTAAAGTTTTATCCTTTTAAATAATAAATATCTCTAATAAATATCTTTAACTGATTATTAGACTAAGTAAAAGTTGTTAACTATTTTTAAGGAAGCCGTTGAATGCTTGAGAGAAAAGTCAGGGAGACCATATTCCTGACTCCCTCAACGTTCACTTTAACTCCCAAAGTTAAGGTGTACGTGAGATCATGAGAGGAGTGGGAACATGGTTGAGGCTTCTCATCTTTCTATATAAAGCATGCAACAGATTCTGATTTGAAGTACAACAAACAACAACGAGAAACATTGAGTTCATTGAGCTTAAGTTTTCTAAGAGCTTTCACGTTCAATATAAAAGAGTGATGAGTTCCTTTCTGTCTTAATCTTCTTTAGTGCATTAGGAAAAGTCTTGTAATTACTTTTGTAATTCGGGATTGGGGTTTGAGAGAATTGTAACTAAGAGACTTGAGTGAGTCTGTTAGAGAGTTGTAAGTGATTCAGAGTCGAATCATATAAGAGAGTTAAGCTGCGGTAGAGGGACCGTAGCTGGGATACTGAACTTGAGTGTAGGCAGAAGTTTCACCTTTGTAAAAGAGTCTTTACATAGTGAAAATATTCGAAAAGCCTATATCATGTGTTCTATCTTTTCTTACATAGTTTAATTCCGCAAAAAGTTCACTTTTCTCTATATACTACAATTCACCTCCCCTCTTGTAGTAGACATCGAACTAACAGTTAAATAATTTTTCAATTGGTCATATCCCCTTAAAATTATTATTCTTATGCTTCTTTTAGTTTTACCCCTGCTATTGTAGTACGAATTATAGGAGTACAATTTAAAGAGCATTCACATTTTGTAAAGTTCCAATTGTAATTGACACAGGGTGATGTTCTGAAATTATATATAGCGAAGGATTTCTGAGGTAGTATTAGAAAGTGGCATATTGAAGTGAAGTGGTTATAATTCATATTGTGCATTTACTGAAAATGACTCTAAACTAAAGGCTTGCTTGATTTTCTGCAATTGCTACTGTTTGATCATATTGAGTTGTTATCCTAGCATCTTGATTTTTGTTAAAAATGCTTAACTTGGGATTATGGGTAGATATTGGCTCTGGCCTAATTGCCATGTTTTTTCCGAATTTTGTCTCCATTAGATGGATACTAACACTCAAACAATGCTCAAGAGGCAGCTGATTTGTGTATGTTATTTAATTTTTCCAACCCCATATAAATCATCTAAATATTACTATTTTTTTAAAACTAATGGAATTGCAGCTGCTGCTTGGGGGAAGAGGGGCAAGCTTATTTCTTGCAGGGAGTACTATACGTATAAGTTTCAAATGCGTGCTGGAAATTTCCTCCTACGGGCTGGGCAGCTATTCTTGCAATATATTGTAGACATGTATGTGAAGATAGAGAATACTCGGCTGGATTTCTTTTGGCAAAATCAGGCACAAATTAGAGTTGAGCTATATCAGGGTTTAGTAGATACACATGAAGGAGGTGAAGCAAATGCATCGAATGTAGGTCAGTATGTTATCCTCCCTACTTTTTTTTGGGGGGGGGGGGGAGGGGGGGATGGCGTTATCTCAATGCTATCGCTCTTGTACAACGTTTTGGGAAACCAGACTTATTCATAACAATGACTTGCAACCTAAATTGGCCAGAAATCAAAGCAGAGCTAGCACACGGGGAAAAACCACAAAACCGACCCGATCTTCTAGCTCGTGTTTTTAGAGCAAAGCTTATAGCACTGAAGAAAAAAATAAAAGAAGAACAAGTGTTTGGTGAGGTGGCTGCATTTATTTATGTAGTTGAGTTCCAAAAACGTGGCTTGCCACACGTTCATATGCTCATTATTATAAAGCATAGAGGAATGGAAGGGAAGTGCAAATACGACTACCCTAAGTCTTTTTCGGATATTACAAGCAGCCATGAAAGCGGCTATCCTGAATATAGACGCCGGGACACTGGTGAGTCTATTGTGATTCGAAGGAAAAGGTTGGACAACCGCTGGGTCATTCCATATAACCCTTATCAATCTGCCTTATTCGACTGCCACTTGAATGTG